GGGGAGGGGGGGGGGTCTCGAGAGGAATACTAATCACGTGCAGCAGAGCGCGCTCCGTTCGCCATTTTCTCTCCTCGCTCGTTATTGGGGCCCACACGGTCGACGCCGACCGGTTCTATGTAAAAGGACACCTCCGCGCGCTCGGCAAATAATACACTACTACTCACTTCATTTCGTTTTCTTTACTTATTTGCTTTCAGTTAATTATTTTTATTTTGCCAGTTGAGAGGCCTGTGTGTGTACGCGATGCGATCCGCCGCGGCCCCGCGCGGTCCCCATTTTTGAGAGAGCGGGCTCATACAAACCGATCGAGGCGCCCGCATCATAAATTTATTCCGTTTCGAATTATCGGTTCTCGCAGCCGCGCGGCGGTAGAGCTACGCGTTGTCGTTTAAAAATTTTCGGCAGGGTGGACCGTCTCTTTTTATTTCGCATCTACAAACACTACAAGATGCATAGAAAGAGAGGGGGAGGATGAAGCAGAAAATGAAATGGGAGAGCAAGAGGGCGGGAGGAAGGTGGCCTAGGAATGTGCCGGGGTTAGGTAGGGGGGGGGGGCGTCCCTGAGACAGACCGCGCACCTCATGCGAAAGTCACGAGTCACCGCCCGCCTCGCAGTCACGCGTCACGAGTCACGATATTCATCAGGAAACGGAATGGAACAGAAGCTGCGCCGCGTCCGGGGCTGAGCCGGGGGCTGGCTGAGCTCGGGGCCCCTGCAGCGCTGTGCGCCGCGGACTCGACGGCGACCGGGGCGGGCCGCCGGGGCGCGGTGGGGGTCGAGGACACGCCCCGCAGAAAGGGAAATGCATTCCGGGTCACAGAAATAATGGGAAGAAATTTCCCACTCGAGGTCGGTGTTGCACTTTGTGTTGTGTTGGTTGTTAGTTATTTGACAATTCAGGCCTGCAACGTGCCACGGTCTGGTGAATGAAATGTATGCAAATCTTCAAGTTTACTGAGCGCTTAGGGATTTGCGCTCAAAAGGAGAGCGGGAATGAAGAGGTGGTCGCAGGCCTCTCCAGGCCTGGACAGCTCCAGCGTCGCCACGCACCTCGCACCACCCGGACGTGGGCGCTGCTCAAGGTCCCCTTGTAAATGAGCGACTGGATCAGCGGCCGAGGGGGGAGGGGGCGCCCTCGCCTAGCCGCACCGTGCCCCAGTCGGCCGACGGCCAGCTCTAGCTTGGGCACCTGTGCGCCCCTATGCCTTGGCGCGGCGCGTGCAGGATAGTTTGAACAGGTTCATAAAACCGTAAAAAAGCAAAGCCGCGCAAAGCTCTCTGGCAGCCGCGGAGTGAGTATGAGTGAGTGAAAGGGCCCTCTCGCTCAGCGGGGCGCGGGGCGGCGTGGCGCATCTAGGCGGCGGCAACAGGATGTACTCTTGATCACTTATTTCCTGGACCCAATTTCTTCTTTTCTTTTTTTTCTTATAGAGCTCGCAATTTGCTTGAAACCTTTTTTTTGCAGCAGGTCGCACCATTCTCCTCACACCTTCTAGAGGGATCGCCCAGAATGTACGCCCGTTTTCATTAGATTCATCCAGCAAATTACGGTTGGCACGCCGCCTGCGAAACTCAGGGCGGGCCACCCCGCAGTACACGCATGCCCTGCAGGCTAGATGTTGCCTACCCATCAGGCGCTCCGAGAGCTTGCATTGGTTCAGCTTGGCAGTTTCGTAACGGCGAATGAGGGGTGTGCATCGGGTGTGCACTTTGGACGATCCCCACGCCTACACTGAGAAACATTTCTCTCCCCTAGGACATGATCCCAGCACTAAACATTTTTGTTCCCGCGATCAGAAACTTTGGTGAGAGGCAGTGCCCAGGACCAAAAAAAATTCTCAGTGTACACAGCAGGGTCGCCGACGCTCCTCGTCAGTCAGTCAGACTGACACAGAGACACGCTCGATTAATAAAATAGTAGAAACCCTGACGTAATTTCGTGGACTGAGGCTTGTCGGGGCGCGGCTCCTTGACCTCATCCACTGCGCACACTGTGCCGCACAGCCGGGCGCCGACGGGCGCATAGTGCACCGCGTTGCAGAGGCGGTATTGTCCGTCAGCCTTCGCACCCGGCTTGGCGCGCGGACGGCGCAGAGCAGAACTGCGGTCGCTTAGCGGGAGCTGGCGACACATTGAGAGAGAGAGAGAGAGAAAAGGTGGGGGACAAAAACAATTTTCACACTCTACCGTAAAACTGCCTAGCGAGAAATGAGTGGAGTGTATAAACGCTGCTCTTTTGCATCGCCAGCCGGCCGTTAGCCGTCTCGGCCGCGGTGGGAGGATAAGGGGGGGAGGGGGGACACTCGAGTGTCATCCCGCCTCGCGGTAATTCCCTCGTTTTTCCTCTCTGGATCTCGACTTCATTGCCTCCGTTCTCAGCGAGTCACCGCGCGCGCCCGTCGCGCCGCGGGTCAGCCGGCCCGCAGTAAAGCCCCGCGGCGGCTGAGTCACGGCGGCGGGGGGCGGGCGAGACCTGACCCTCTTCCTTATAGCAAGGCACGCCCGTTACTGGGGCAGCCATCGGTACAGCATGTAGCATGGAGTGTTGCATGTACTTACAACCGTATAGTTACCCAGTTCCGCTCGAGATGAATATTCCTCTCTTTTTATTTAATTTTCTTCAAATTATTTTCCCGGCGCGCTGTGTACTTGGGCGTTTGGTGGCGCGCCTCTTTTCGTAATTGAGGAGGATGTGGCGGTGTGGATCTGGTTAACGGGCGTGGCGCGGCGTGGCCACGGCAGCACAAGCCGTATCGGTGGGAACATCTCGCTGCAGCTACTAGAACCTGGTCCTGGGCCCCGCTGGCCCGGCCCGCGGGGGAGCATCAGCTGGCCCCGGGCGCGGCCCAGGGCGCGGGGTGGTCGGGTTACGTAAGGCCGCCTCGCCGTGGACCCCGCCCGCACCCCGCCCTTCACGACGGCGCCCCGCCCGCCGCCACCCCGCCCTGCGCTTGCCCTTTGGGAGGGCGGCGGTCTGCGGCGGGCGGCGGCGGTCGGCGGCCTCCGAGCAGCGATTTGTCCGCCCAAGCGCCACAGGTCCACGTGCGCGCGCGCGCGCGGGCGAGCCGCAATCGCATTGCCGCGGAGGTGGTGAAAGGATAACTCGTTGTAGAAGGTCAGACCGGCGGAAGGGGTGCGCGAGAGAGGCGGGTCAAGGGTAGGGAGAGAGGGAGAGAGGGACAGAGAGAGAGAGGGGGGGGGGAGTGGAAACCCACCAGTGGCGCCAAGACTTTTTCCGGACGGGTATGCAAGCCCCC